CTCCTGGACTCTATTGATCACTGTTTTAAATGTTTCCCACTGCTGCTCTATCTCTTTGTTTGCCAATACTGTTTTCCAGTTTATTTTCCCAAGTTCCATTCTCATCCACTCAAAATCAGCTTTTTTTTCAATCCATTACCCTGGTCTTTGTCATACCAGTGTAGAAAACTCATTTTTGGCAAATACCATGACAACACAGAAGGGGTGGCTGAAATTTCATGTGCAAGACAGTGTCAAGTGAGAGAAAGGCTGTACACATGTGTGTGTTGATACTCTGTGTATATTATATATATAATATATATATATAATATATACAGAATGAGAGAAAGAGAGAAACTGATAGTGTTCTTAAGGAAAGGCCTTATCATAAACTAGAATTAGTCAAAATGTATTTTAAATGGAACGGTCATGTTCAAAGCTGACCAGAATACTCTGGTAGGTTGCTATGACTACAGTTGTATTCCGGATATGAATTTATATTTTGTTAACATAATTTGAATGAAAGTTGTCAAAGACATACAACTGAAACCCGTGGGTGGTGAGTGCAGAACCACATGAAATAAAAAATAAAGACCTGTGGTTTATTTAGACATTAAGATACATTAAATGAAAACTATGTAAGAACATATTGAAAACTAAGGGCAGAACATGAAGAAATGTATCAGGCTAGTAAGAAACAACAGAAATAGTTATTGCCATAAATAGATGCACTGGAAAATCTTAAATGCAAAATAATTCTCATTCAGATAATCAATGAGATAGGTACCTTGGCTACTTCTGGGGACATTACATCCTGTTGCTGAAACATGAAGCCCCTCTTCATGTTACATTGTGTGCAGTCACTTCTGATCCATCTGCAGATGTACTCCAATTCTTGAAGCCAAGTTGTGTGACGTACATTGAGCACAGACAAACTTGCAGACTTCCTTTTGCAATGCAACACTAAATGTATCTAAACACTGCCTTCTCTGTTTCAGTATTCTAAATTTACACACTTGCGATTGATTGTGGTTTCGATAGAGCTCCCCTTAGCCAGAGGACAAATAACTATATATTTTGTTTGCCAAAACAGTCTCATTGAACACTAACATTTTTTCCTCTAGATGTCATCCACATAACAACAAAATAAAAAAAAAATTTACAAACAAATATATGTACACTTGGCTCTATGTATAGGCTAAACATTTTTTTTATTGTTGATACAGAAACATTTTGCGGAATGAATACATCATCTTTAGCTACTTGAAATCCAGCACGGAGCAACATTACAACACTCTATGATAAGGGGATTAAGATGAGAATTGTAGATAATGCTGATCATATCGATCTTTTCCCATAAAGCAGGCGATACGCAGATCATGTTGACTACCTCCACTCAGTTTGCAGCAAGCAGGCAATTATTTTTGAGTACAATGAATATTGTATTCCTTAACCTGTATACAATCCTTAAATTTGAGCATAAAGATGTGCTCTCTACCTAATGTGGTGCTGCAGGACTTTTTCTAGACTCTGTTGCAATCTTTGAACTCTAACCCTACTCCTTTCATCTCAGTTTACCTATTAATACAATTTTATCTTAAAATTTATGACCATGTCAAGTTGTAGAAAGTTCTTAAATTAAGCCATGATTTAGAAACGAGTTTTCCACTGTTCATAACATGTTTCAAATTAAGACCAAATTGAAGCATTCTCTGCATTTCTCTGTAATCTTAAATCTTAAGAAAAAATGATCTTACAAGTCAATAAGATCAGGATTTTAGGCTCTGAGTTTTGCTAATTCTTTGGCTCCGATAGAGTCCTTTAACTCAGTGGTTCTACTCAATACTCCTTCCAGTATTGTAAAGCTCAGCTGTAATCTTCCAAGTTACAATGCAAAACATCTGTGGAAATTATTAGGAATATATATGATGATGTAAAATAATTCTTCAGAATTATTATTGAAGGTAAAATGTACTCTTACAAACGGTTATTATCTCAGAATAAACCACATACAGAGCCTTTCTGAATCCCAAAGGCAATAAAGCAGAAACTCAAAGAATAGACATCATTCTGCACATCTCTACTATGTAATGCTGATATCCATCTGTCCACTGACACAATTCCTCAAACCCTCACCCCAACCCCAGCAACACAGAAATCACCATGTCCTGTGCAATATTTCTTCATCTCAGTCTGCCCTTTTCCATGTATCTTCCAATACTATTCCAAAGCAAATTATTATCCACTTATTTTATGAACGAGTTGATCAATAGAGGATCAATTGATTTTGTTAAGCATCTGTTCCACATTACTCAGTATTTATTTCTCCAAACAGAGAAAAATCTCTATGTTGTATACTTCTGCTTCGCAGTCACACTGCTTCGCAGTCACATAGCTTGCCTACATCAACTGCTTCCATTGTTTAGATCAAAGACCATTTCTTGTTCTCGATCCTCTATTTTGTACATTCATCTATTTCTTTACCTAGAGGGAAATTAATAACTGGAACAGGTTGCCAGGCAGGATGGTTGAGGCCAGCACACTAGACTCATTGAAAAAAAACAGCTTGATGCTGTGATGGGAGGACGGTAGGTTGGGTATTCTGGAAGGATAATGATCTGACAAGCCTCGTCTGATCAAATGATCTGAGAAACCTCTTCACGTGAACCAATCATGTGATCATGTGAGCTCGATGAGCCTTTCCTCATAACTTTGAGCTCTAACTCTTGCAGAGTAGACACTTTTAGTTTCTGTCAACTTAAAAACAGAGAACTGCAGGAATAGGGGCCTACCACTACATCTCCAGAAGGAGAATAGATCACAGTAAAGCCTATTGAAGAACAGTTGTACTTATATAGGGATGGATATTTCAAAGCTCTTCACAGAGAAGACTCAGAGAAGCAGATCAGAGTAAAGATGACTGGTTTCACAGTTAGAATACTCAATAGTCTCTCTTTTTTCAGTACGTCTGGTGAAACACCAATTTTATCAATGGCCAGGTCCCAGGGAGAAATGCTCTTGTTTCTGACTGGGATCATATATCTGAACAGGCAGACAGGACCTTGGTTTAACATCTCATCTGATTTAACATCACCACCCAAAATGCAGTACACTGCTACCACTACACTAGAATGTAAGATAGACTGTGACGCAAAGCTTAAGCTGACACCTCTTGACTTCATACTGCAAATGGAGCCTTCCTTAACTTTATGGGACGAGTCCAAACCAAGTAAAAAAGCAATATATTTTATGAGAGAGCTTAATTACCTCAGGCCAGCCGTAAAAATAGATCCTTGGCGGATACGATATAAAGCATCAGACAAAAAGGCTTCATGGGGAGTGTAAATTATAAGAGAATTGCTATAGGTGGAGGTTGAGGTGGAGATGATTTTAACAAATTGCTGGGATGAGCTGTTAATAATGGTGCAGACTGAGATCTGCATATTCGTAGTGAAAGCCAAGGGAAAATGACACATTAATTAGGCAAGGGTTAAATAAATTATTTTATAGCTTTACTTCATAGCGAATGAAATGGCTATGGCAGTAATCAGTTTATTGTAAATCACAGTTTTGAATATTCATTTTGTTAAAATATTTTGCTTAAAAATATAATTGAATTATTCTTGCATATTGATCACAAGTCCCATCCTGCACATTATTGCCCACAAAACACACAGTCACTTCACTTTACAATGTATGTGTCCTGAGAAGCTCTTCGGGAAATCCTCCTGACGTGAAAGAATCTACACCAAATGCAAGGATTATTATTATTACTGTGTTATTACAGTTGAAGTGATGTGAAAGGCGCTATTTCAAATGTAAGTTATTATAGCCTGTGAAGGGTATTGAGACTCCTCAATGACATGGTAAGGTGCTATAGCAAATGCAAGAATACTATTATATATTATATAGACATGTCCACAGATCCTGTCAATCTTACTCTTTCAATTGCTGTGCGCAATTGGCTTACTCTTTCATTCATTTCCTGACTTCAATAGGATAGAAAGCAATTCTTCACCTTTTCCAGATCCACCTTTCTTTCCCAACCTGTTTCATGTGTCTTCAATCAATCTATCTTAATTATGATAATGCAATTTACAATAAATAACATATATACCAAATGCAAGGATTTTTATTATTATTTGTGATAAAAAAATTGAAAATAATACATTATAAAAGTGTACATTGATTTTTTTGCCATAGTAGTCAGCAGATAAAGCAATAAACTTACATTTATATCACACCTTTCATGACAGAAGGGTGCCCCAATGGGCTTGATGTAAGCAAACATGAAAGAAAGGGTAATTTGGCCTACTGTGGTTATTTCCTCCTTCACGCAGTTCCAGGAAGGGGACTGAATAGATCCTCCCAAAACATCACTGATAATCAAGCAAAAAATCCAGAATATTCATTCATCCTCATATCTTTCCCATTCCAAGATGGGCTACTGTCACACAACAACATTACCCAATGTCCTTAGGCCTCAGCAGCACAGAAATGATCACATCCGTGGAGAATAAAAATAACGACTTTCTTTAATGCATCGTCTTTCACATACATTGAATGTACAAAGCGATTCACAGATATGAAAGGGAAACAAGGAGGGAGAAGGAAAGGAAAATTAAAGATGCTGACTAATATCTGCTTGGGTCCAAATCCCTCACTGTCCAGCACCTTGGGACGTCCTCCCGTTGTGATACAATATATACAAATGTACTTCTGTATTTTTTTGTCTTGTATCTGTACATCTCAGTGGTACTGCAGTGGAGGCAATGCAAAGGAGGCACAGCAATCGAGACATGGTAATGGAGAGAGAGAGTGCAGTCAAGACACAGCAGTGGAGAAATAGCAGCAAAGGCACATCAACTGACATTGAGAAATAGAGACACAGCAACAAAGAGATAGCAGTGGAGACATAGCAGTGAAGACACCTCAGCAAAGGTATAACTATGGAGGTGTGTCAATCTCCATCGCAGGTCTGCAGTGAAATCTCCGTTGAAGGTTTCAGCGTTTCGAGCTGCCTGTTCTCCACACTTTTACTGAATTGAAAATCCGGTCGGTTTATAATAAAAGGATCCTCCTTCAAAGGTGAAAAGAGTAAAACAAGCATGGATTGAAAATGACAAAATAGAGAAAATAGAGAAAAATTAAGTCCATTCAAAATCCTGTCATTAAATTAAAGTCATCCAATGTATTTTAGCCAAGCCATTGGATCATCGTTTAAATGGATGCTTAATATTAATCTTAAGCTTCACACACAAGATATTCAGTCAATTCACTTTACAGTATATTCTGTGAAGTGCTTTGAGACGTCTCAAAGGCGTGATAATGCGCTATATCAAATGCAAGGATTATTATTATTGTTATTACTGAGCTGAATACTATTGCTATTCTATTTAGATCATTTAGATCACCTTTCAGTTCAGCAGTGGAAACAAACGGGATGGTGGAATCAGTCAGTATTTTCCTCGGCACATATAAATGTCATGAAAATCAGACATATTTACTGATCATCAACCAGAATGCATGTTGAATGCGTCCCCTGTTGTTGCAGTTTCTGCTCATATTATACTTCGAGCAGCAACAAAAAGTCAAAACAGAAAAGAGAGAGACTGTGAACCTGGAGGCAAAGTAAATGTGACATATGTAAACCAATTATTCAGCAACCATAGGGCTGAGCTATCCAGCTCCACGGAGCATATTGTAACGGCTTAATATCGGAATATTATGAAAAGTAAAACCAGAGTCTGAATTGAGACTCCACCCTACAGAAATTTAATAGCATAGAAGAAGGCTCTTTGGCCCATCGTGTCTGTGCTGGCTCTTTTAAAGAGCAATTCCTTCAGTCCCATTTACCTACCTTTTCCTCAATTCCCGTAGTTTACTCCTTTCAAGATATCTATCTTTTATCTTCATCCACTGAGCTATTTCCACTTCAAGATGCAATCATGCGGAAAATTTCAGCAAGAAATAGGAGGCCTAAAATTCCACCTGGTCTAAGCCTGTGTTTTAAGTATTAAATCTGCCTTAAATTTGCAAGGTTCTGCAGAACTGTGATATTGTTATGCTTCAGCTTTAATTTGGAAGCCTGTTCATTATAAGAACAATGGAAAACCCACTTCCAAATTAATACAGAATTGAAGAATCTTCCCCAATTTTGGGCCATCTTAAATTTTAAGACAAAATGGTCTTGCAGACTAAGACTAGTTGGAGTTTTGTTAAATACATAATACTGAGGACATCTCAAATGCTTCACATAGTTTTTCTGTGAAGTGTAGTGACTGTGTGTTTGTAGGCAAATGTAGTCAATTTGCATGCAGCAATGTCCCACAAATACTCATGAAGTGAATGATTCATTTTATTTGGGGGATTTTTCTAATAAGCCATGGGATGTTTAACGTCCACCTGAACAGTCAGACGGAACCTCGGTTTAAACATGTAATCGAAAGGACACCACCACTGACAATGCAGTTCTTCCCCAACACTGCATTGCAGTGTCAGCCTAGACTTTCAGCTCAAGTCCTGATGTGAGGCTTGAGCTCTTCTGATCGTATAAATATTGTGGATTCCCCTAATTCAGTGGTTAGAGCACTCGCCTTGCAATCGAGACACCTGGGTTCAATTCCAGGCAGGGCGAAACCTTGGGCAAGTTTCCTTACTCCACACGTCTAATAATAATCCCTCCAAAACAAAACAATAATAAATTGGTCATTTTCAATCCACAACTGTTTGTGGGACATTGTTGTGTGCAATTCGCTGCCGAGTTTTGCCCACAAATATACAGTCAATTCACTTTACAGTATATTCTGTGAAGCGCTTTGAGACGTCTAGAAGACATGAAAAGTGCTATATCAAATGCAAGGATTGTCATTATTATTATTATTATTATTATGATTAATATCATTTAGGAAGCTGCTCCTATGGTCCAGAGGATAAACACACTTATCCTGGTGCGCACAAGATCATTCAGACACATTTGTGCTCAGTTAGTTGGTCTCAGTAGTTGGTGTTACAATTAGTCTCATCACCCTCCTAGGATGGAGAATGCAATATCAGCCAGGGCTCCTACTCTAGAGAGGTTTGCTGGATAGTGTAAGTATTAGTGGCCATGGGGTGTGGATAGGAACTGGCTTGATAACCCTACAGGTGAAAGGCCTGTGATATTCACTGTCAAGGCTCACAAATGAATAATGGCCCCTTGGATGAGATACCAAAGTGTGCTCAGTGTTCTGTGAAGAAGCAGTGAAATGCTATGCTCGATGAGCAGGAACAAAGATGGTGATAGCAAGTCGCTTTGGGCCAAACCATCAAGTCAAAGGCAGGGGGTGTTGATGCTTGAAACCAATTGACAATTGTTAACTAAAATTATTAAGATATTTGATGCGATAGTTGTCACAGCAATTATGCAATTTATCTCATGGTGTTATCAGTGAGAGGAATGATCTAATTTTAATTGCTTCTGCTCTGTGGAAATCCCAGGTTTCAGAACTTTAACCTGGAAAGGCAAGGCTCAGAGAAGCCGAGTGACATGCAGGTGAGATCAATAATAATGAACCACAAGAGGGAGTAAGGTTACAGCAAATTTACTTTAGCCAGACAGTTTAATTAAAGAGAACTTTTCTTGACTTCATGTTAAATGTGTAGTGGGGGTGCGGGCTAGGGAATTTCACCATTAAAGAAGTGGTGAAATTCCACTTGCTATTAACAACAACACCAACTAGATTGCACTTATAGAGCGTCTTTCACGTCGGGAGGACGTCCCAAGGCGCTGGACAGTTGGATCGGGACCCGAGCAGCGGGGAACTGGTCAGGGTGAGGGGAGGGAAGGGAGGGAGCGAGGAGGGGTTTGAGAGTCGAGAGGGGAAGTGAAGGCACGGTTGAGGAGAATACTACTAATAATACTAATAATCCTTGCATTTGTTCTAGAGTCTTATCACGCCTTCTAGACGTCTCAAAGCGCTTCACAGAGTATACTAAAAAATGAATTGATTGAATATTTTGTGGGCGAAATGCGGCAGCCAATTGTGGGCAGCAGTGTCCCACAGTCGTGGAATAGGTGACCAAATTATTATTATTAGAATTAATGGCATCGCTATGGTATTTAAAAGTGTGCACAATTTTGATTATAATGATAATCGTTAATTCAATGTCCATTGTTCTGTCTTGTTATTTCAATAGGCTGTGACATTTCTAATATAATTCTTGCATTTAACACAGCACCTTATTAGGTCGAGTGAAAGTGCTTCAAAGGATTTACAGTATTTTGTAGGTGAACATGGCGGATAGTTTGTGCATACCAAATCCCACAAACAGCCATGGAGTGAATGACCAATGGGGATTATTGACCAGGACATTTGGGAGAAACTCTCTCTATTTGAATAGAGTCATGAAATCTTTCACGTTTACATGAATAGGCAGACGGGGATTTGAGTTAACATCTCAATGTTTCCTTTTCAAGTACTTATACAATTCCCTTTTGAAACATACTATCGAATCTGCTCCCACCACCCTTTCAGGCAGTGCATTCTAGATCATAACAAGTCTCCGGGTAAAAATTCTCCTTGTTTCCTCTCTGGTACTTTTGACAATTATCTTGAATCTATGTGCCTGGTTACTGACCCATCTGCCAGAGGAAGCAATTTCTCCCTATCTACTCTATCAAAACCCCTCATAATTTTGAATACCTCTATTACATCTCTCCTCAACAATATTAAGCCGGCACTAAACTTGGTCTATGCGCGTTAATTTTATGACAAGTTTAGACAAACTTCATTCATTCATTCATTCAAGCTTTTAAATTTTAAAAATTCCCTTTTAGAATTATTTTTAGGCTCTTAACAAGTAAACAAATCCATAAAATGTGTGCTTTTCAAGGCTTGATTAAAGACATTTGCATTCCTGATCTGGTGCCATTCTAGAGACTGTGAATGAAATCATTGGAATCCTCTCAACATTAAAACAATGATGAGGGCGTTTTCATTCTGAAAAAAGACCGTAGTGGGGGATGGGTTCAAACTTAAACCTGTCATTCAGAGCAGTTTCCTGTTAATAAACTGTTCCTTAATTACAACAATTCAGAAATGGAATGTGTTTAGGAACACCTCAAGTTTGACCTTCATTAAAATGTACACAAAAGCTGACTGTGTAAACGAAATAGATTGAGCAGCTGGAAATACGATTCCAGGCAAAGGAAGGTCTGGGAGAAGCGTGTGTGATAGTGAGAACATGTGAATGGCTATGTGGCTTTTGGAAGCAGCAAAGCAAAGTATCTTCCTACACCTGAGACATTGGGTGTGTGGAGCTGAAATCTGAGAGGCTTAAGTCATACTTCTAGCAAGAACACCTTCAGACAAATACTTAAGAAACATTCCATCCCAATGACCTGTTTGCATTGTCTGCAACATGTGCGTAATGCCAATTAGGATACGTGAGCTATTGGATTCCGCTCCAATCGTGGTGCAGATGTCTGTAGCAAATTAATGTTTTCTTTTTGTTATTGTTTCCTCTGCCCCTTGCTATGTGGTGAGAGTGACCCTCAGTCACACAAGCAGCGCCTACATCTGTTCAGAGCCAACTGGAGGAGTGATGGGGGAGGATGCTCTGATGATTAAGTTAAGTCAGAAGATCGCGGAGTGCATTATTATAATAATAATAATTATGACAAAAAGATGCGAGTTGGAAAACGTTCACCGATGACCACTAGATACTGCTATAATTGTGCACAATATATCCTGCATCAGCCAATTGGCAGAATACACCTAAACACTTCAGAGCTTAAAAATAGTAATTAAACAATTCTGTGGTTATGCCAAATGAAACCTCATTATCTTAGCTACCAGGTGTGACACTGTGGCTGAGTGTAATATCACTGTTAACACTGCACGTCTGATTGCAGATGCAAGCCTGTCCTGCAGGCACCCTCTAATGTAAAGTGACTACTCGGTCAGGTGGCGTTTTACCTCAAACCCTTTCGGTGTGGGGTCAGCTCTGTAGGGAGTTGCCTCCCTCTCCTGGACATAATGGTGGATGAGGATGGGCATGTGCTGAAATGTATGTCCATTATCTATAGGTGAAGTGATAACATCAGAGGTGCTGCCATTTTGGTATTGCAATCTGTTTCTGTCCCCGAGCTCTGGAATTCCATCTTGGAGTCCCTCCGCCTCACCCACTCCCTCGCCTCCTTTATACCTCCCTCTTTGATCATGCTTTCGGTCATCTTTTCCCCACCACCCCCTTGTCCCCCCACTCCCCGAATCCAACCATCAGCTCACGTGCTAATCCTCGACTGTCTTGTGCTTTGGGGTGTTCTCCTTACATAAAAGGCGCTAAACGCATAAAATCTGTTGTTGTGTTTCACAGAGACTGCAACGCACAAGCAAAAGAAATGTAATATCGAAAGAAAAGAAAGACCTGCCTGATTATAGCAATTTATACTGTCAAATGTAACAATAAATACATGCTCCCACAAAATACAGTGCAAGCAAAATATAATAAATAATAATAATCCTTGCATTTGACATAGCATATTATCATGTCATCATAACATTTCATAGATTTTTACTGTAAAGTGCAATGATTGTGTATTTGTAGGCAAGCATAGTAGGCAATTTACAGACAGGAATGTTCCACAAACAAGCAAAGGATTAATTTTATTTGGGCGATTGTTGTCCAGGAAACTCCCTTCTCTTTTCCAAGTAGTGCCATTTAACATCCACCTGAACAGACAGAGGGGACCTCAGTTTAACGTCTCACCCGAAGCGCACCCTCTGCATTGGAGTGTCAGCCTAAACTGTGATTGCAAAGTCCCAGTGCAGGTCTTGAACCCACAACATTTTGACTCAGAAATGAGAGTGCTACCAGCTGAGCCTGGCTGACCCCTAAATAAAAAACGCCTCCAAATTCTAGCAGGTGCAGTTCCAGATATGGAGGCCAGGAGCAGGTTTCCATAAAAAAGAACGCATGAACACAAGTCATCTTGCTGCACAATCCATCATAAGAACAGCAACCCTTGAAATGACACCTGACTGATCCTGTTCATTTACCCTGCCCAATAACGACCAAATATCCTGATGCTCAAGCATGCAATTCCGCTGGCCAGGAAACATTTAACTATATAACAAGATTCACTGCATAAATCTATACTGTCACAAATATAGTGCAAACACAATACACAGCTCCTCCAAATTCCAGCAATGGCTAAACTTATTTATAACGACTGGAATAAAAAAACAACAAAGAAAGCAGCTCTATTAATTTCAAATGGGTTTGCCACCTGTCACTCCTTATTCTCAAAAAATAATTTGTTTACAATGGCTTAACCTCGGTCGTATTCCACGAGTGTTAAAGCATTAGATCCACCCACAGACTATCCTTTATTTTGCTGCCATTTACCATTATGTTGAAAGAAAATATGTTCTGATTGTGGCTGCGTAGTCTAGAATGATGTGGAATTTGCCTGTTCTCTTACCCATAAGAATACCTGCTGGACACAGTACTTGTAGAACCAACAGAAACTGATAGGTTAAATGGAACCTCATGCTTAGTGAACCACATTTAGATGATGACATATATTTTTATAATGTTACATGCATAATTTTCAGACTGCAATATCTGCCAATGCATGCACAGTGCAAGAATCATATGATAAATTATCCAAATCTTCAGTTAACAGCTTAAATGCAAACATTGTCTCTTGTCCCCAGTCATTTAGAACATTTCTTTAAATTTGCTGGATTCCTCTGACCATAGACACCAGCAATTAGTATAAAATATATTTAAAGCCTATTTATATTCATTTGCAACCTGAAATTCAACCTGAAATCAGAATAGCTGTTTCAGGTATATAGATCATTAAACACTTACAGCCCCAAATGCTGTCATCAGGGTTGTGGAGTTAATGACAAAATTTGGAAAGTAAAAGGAAGTAATCAGTCTTAATATCTTAGTGATATTATGTAGAGCCTTTCTTGTGGCATCAAGAGATCAATATTATCAACATAAAAACATCAATTGTCCCTCAATATCTGGTGGGTTCAAATTACCATTTTAAGAACAGTGCGGATGTACAGTAGATTCTTGTTTGTGTAAGTGTGTTACGTTCTACAGCAGAGACCAATATGATGGCTTGGGCAGCAGTCTATCACGGTGGGATACATATTCTTCTAAGTGATTCTTTTCAACTATTGCAGACTTTAACGATAACTACCTATTTCTTAGAGAAGAGTCCATTCTGTCCCAAGTGTCCCTGGTACATAGGTAATCTGGGACATATGTGCATGCGACCGCTAGGAAGGTGGAAGGCGAACTGGATGGACCTTGGTCTTTTTTTCGCCTAGCGTTTCTTATGTTCTTATGTCCTGGCCAACAATCTCCCAGATAAAATTGGCCTTTCACTGTTTGTGGGACACTGCTGTGTGCACGGTCATTACACTTCAAAGAAAATCATGCAAAGTGTGTTGAGACATTTTGGTCACGAGAAAAAGGGCTCCATCAAATGCAAATGTAAGGTTTATTGACATAAAAGACATAGATCCATTTTTAGAAGATGATTCACAGAAAAGGAGATATTTCTCCTTGATAAATTTGGCTACATTTTTTAATTTTATCTTAGGTTGTATTCCTATTGTGTTACCATTGTAATTCATTGAACTTCATGACTCATGCATCCAATTTTGGCTTCCACTCCTACTCTATATATCACAGATTTGATGAAACAGAAGTGAGTCGGTGACCAGCTTGACTAGAAATCCCAATGATCGCAGCTTGTAGACCAGAGTGTCAATACTACCGATTGCTTCACCACTTTCACCTAACTGAGCACGTTTATTTTTAATCGCCTTGACGTTTGACCAAGGCTATGTGCTAACCGAACTCATCAATGAGAAATATCTCCAAGCCATTTCCAGTAATATAGATAAGGTATATCTGCAGTATTTAGTTGAATATTAAATTATTTTAAAATGCTCTGGAGTATAATGCATTTAACATAAAATGACTATATCTCAGCAAGTAATTGTTTAACCATCTCTAGCGAAATGTATGAACTTTTACAAGTACTTGGCATGCCTGATTATTAAATCTGAATGATAAAGCTCAGCAGTAGTGCTGGGATAAATCTGCTTTATGGGGTGAACAAGCAGTAGGTAATGCAATGCTCAGTGGCTTCAGGAACCATTTGCGGCACAACCATTTGAAGGGTGCTAGTTTTGCTCACCCCTGGCAATTTATCGACTGGGACATTAACTGTCCTACATTGTGATGATTATCCCCCGTGATGATCAAGGGACATTTTACTCCTGCTGCAACAGTTGTCCTTGAGCGCAACATTTGAAAACACGGTTGGTGGGTGGGAGTGGATGGATGTGCTTACATGTATTATTGACTGGCAGATCTCTCTGAAATGTGTTCATTATCACATCACATGCTGCATATTTAACCCCTAGGGTTTAAATTGGACATCTACAAGTCACAAAATAAATCCAGTTTATAAATTTGGTCCCATCATTTTAAACCTGTGCAGAAAAACTTGAAAATGTTTGATAATTGTTGAATTGAGTTTTCTGTGAAATATTGACTTCATGTCATGGTGCCTTCTCAGCATTCCTTCTGCTACAACTCATTTTCTAAACCTGCTTATGTTGCTGTAAAACCAGCAGATAGGAAGTTACCTCAGTACAAATGGTTACCGCACCCTCAATCCCCCTTGTCCCAGCTTACCACCTCCCTCAGTAAACTACTTGTCTTGGGTTCTGTACTTCCCAGGCAACCCAGCTGAGGGTGGGAACTATTTGAAGAGATGCAGTGAGAGATCCATTACTCTATTATGGAGGGGCACCTCATTGGGATTAACAATTGCTTACCATCAACCTTTATGGCAAAGAATAAACTCAAAATGATGGATTAGAATAATATCGGTTATTGTACATTGAGAATTAAGTCTTTCTGCGGCAATAGGTGAGTTTTCTCATCTGAATGCAATTGGACTCCAGAAGTCATTGTTGAGCATATCTACTTTGGCACTATTTTTGGACATGACAAAAACGCATCAATAAATGTTCCGGTGATATATCAGAAACGACTGCTTCAATCATTCACATCAGTAGTGCAATCTCAAGTTCCTGTCTCTCTAACAATTTTCAGCCAATAAAAATCCAGACACATTGCAAATCGCAAGTAAGAAGAGATAGAATAGATGGATAGCAGGCATAAAGTGACACATTATACAATACAATATTTCACCTTTCACGTCAGGAAGATGTCTCAAAGTGCTAAATTAAAAGTAAATTGTATGGATAAAGATTCGAGAAGAGAAAATAGGAATTTAATGAGTAATAATCTACCTTGAATGGCCTCTTCATGTTTCTGTTTTCCTATATTCCTAGTCTTGCTTGCAGTCAATGTGTTAATCTAAAAGTAATAATAACATTAAATAATAATAAGCAAAAACCCTTTCATTGGATAAAATACCTTTCATGTTGGAAAGAAGTCTCTATGTGCTTACAGGAACTTATTATAAAGTGTAGTGACTGTATATTTTCGCCCACAAATATACAGTCAATTCATTTTACAGAATTCAAACCCAGAGTTCCTATAACTTGCCTCTTCCCTTGTCTCCTTCAAGGTGCACCTCAAGATTCTTTGGTTCATGGGTATTTCCCCCCCTCCCCTGTCTTCCTTAGCTGCCAGCCCCTCCAGATGCCACCCTTGCTTGGCTGCAAACTCTAGGTTGTCTGGCGCTTTGGGACGATCTCCCGAAGCGAAAGGCGTTATGTAAATGTAGATTTCTTGTTTTTATTGTTGTTGAATGTACATTTAAGTAAAGGTACATAACAGTTGCATTCAAGTATAATCACAGAGCACATTTTTAGGAAATACTTGTCTACCTCCAAAATTTTTATTCAAGCATTAAGAAGGTGGAGGCTCTGTGCATTATTTACCATATAAACCTTTCTCACTCTTCATTTCATAATGTGGCTTTCATTAGATTACATGCAAGAATGATGGAAAAAAGGGATCAAGTGTTAAAACAGGCAGATGGCATTTCATATTAATTCATTTTGACAAGCAGAAATTACTCAGGTATGCAAAGCCAACGGACGTGCCAAAACCTTCCCTGAAAGACTCTTTCACTGAAGCAATGTTTTCACTTGCAGTGAAATATCAATACCTCGAAATTCTCAGCATCTATTTTGGACATGTGTATGAATGGATGCTTATAGGACTGGTTTTCCCTACAGATTAGACTCATTGTGCAGGGATAGATTTTGTGTAACAGGATCATGAAACTCTTGGCTTGGCTTTTCTGCTGACACAATAAACCTCAATTGCTACCACTCCAATGCAGTCGGAGAGTTACCAACACTTCTCCATATAGACATTACAGCACTAGAGGGCGCAAGGGTATTTGAAATTGCATTAAAAGCCCACGTCACCTCCTGATGCTGTATTGGACCACCTGACTGTGAAGAAGTGAATGGTCTCTAATAGGTACCTCCCATTGATAACTGAGCTGAGATTGGGAACTCGTGTGAAACATTATGTGTAAAAAACGCATTCCATTTCGGCAAAGTTCCTTGAAGCATCAACACAATGAACTACATGTAGAATATTATTTTCAAAACAACAACTTACATTTATATGGTGCCTTTCATATAGGATAATGCCTCAGAGTGTTGGATGCTGAGCAAGGGAGAAGGAGGAGGTGATTGTAGGTGAAGAGTTCAGTTTTGAAGTGGGATTTAAAGATACATAAAGGTGGGGCAGAGAGATTGAGGCAGGAAATTCCAAAGATTTGGAGCATAGTAGATAAAGGTTCCACCACAATAATAAACAATGGTGAAACAAGTAAAACTGATGATTTTCACACTTTCACTGAGTCCTTTGAATGAAAAATAAAACGAGACTGCTTTCCCATCCTACTAGATTTTTTTAATGTCCATTGTCTGCAAAATATTAAAGATGAATATGGAAGCTTTCGACTTCTATGAGCTCATCACTTAATTGTTGCTAGGCAATGCATTTTTAAACTGGCTCCATTCAGCTGTTTTACAGTGCAATCTGGTCACATGGATTGAGATGTGATTCATAAACATCATGAAGTCCTCAGTCAAGGATACATTGGGAACCCAGTAAATGTTCCCTTACGTCAGTGGAATTAATGAAGAGCACTTACAGAAATGGTTTATCAGACCAGGAACGCTGTAAACTGCATTTTTATTCAATCTCATATTGATGAAATGGAATATATGTTATTTTCACATTGAGCAAAATTTCAGTCCCTTCACTCAAAGGGCAATGAGAATTATTAGGTGTTAAGTGTCCACACATAAACTTGCTAAACTATCTTTCTGTACTGTATTGCTGTCTACCTTGGAACAGTTTAGGAGTTTCAATAACGTTGAATATTACCTTCTCCATTCTCAACAACAATATAAATCTATTCTTTATAATCAAATTATCAATCATCTTCCCAAGCCAGGCTCTGCCTTAACTACAATTTGTATTATTTTAACTTTTGCTATATTGATGAGTTTTGTATTTCTTGGATGAGACATTAAACCAAGGACCTATCTTCCTGTTTAAGTGGATGTGAAAGATCCCATGAGGGTACTCAAACAAAGAAGAGATTTTATTCCAATGTCCTGCCTGACAATCTTCCAAATAAAATTGGTCATTCACTTTAGACAATTTGTGAAATCTGCTGTATGCAAATTAGCTGTTATATTTGCTTACGAATACAGTTAATGCACTTGACACCAATTCCCTTTGAAATTCATTAAGCCATATTATGGGTATTTTATCAAATGTAAGAATTATTAAGGAAAGGATAACGGAAAGGGTACAATCTGGAGTTCAAGGGTGAGTAGGACAGGTTATGACTATGAGGACAGATTCAAAAAATTGGATCTGTTTTTACTGGAATAGTGTAGATTAAGAAAAGATCTAATACAGGTTTTTAGAGGATAAATAATAAATATAATAATAATAATAATCCTTGCATTTGATACAGCGCTTTTCACATCTTCTAGACGTCTCAAAGCGCTTCACAGAATATGCTGTAAAGTGAATTAACTGCATATTTGTGGGCGAAACGCGGCAGCCAACTGCACGCAGCAGTGTCCCACAAACAATCGTGGATTCAAAATTACCAATTTATTATTGTTTTGGAGGGATTATTAGAGGGATATTGGAGGAATTATTGGAGGGATATATCATTCCTGTTAGTAAATTAGTAATGGAAGGATGCTCATAAGATAACAAATGTCCCTGGATAATAATAATAATTCTGCACAATAATGTCTATCTGTCATTTTACCCTAACTTGCCAACTGGATGTCATTGAAAATAAGACGTTTAACCCTTAGATTGCTGGTAGTTGTGGGGAATCATAGTTTCTCTGGACTTGCATATTGTGATGCTGAAAGAAAACTTAAATATCCCAGTAATACTTCTACTCAGATGTCAGGAGCAGCTGTGGTACTGTAATATTAACCTCTATCCTGGTTTGTAAGAAACAAAACATGACACAACATTGTCTGGGGAATCCCCCGAAGACTACACTATTAAAATGAGAAGGATTTGGAGGAGAATGCTTATTGTTAACATTTGCAAATGATACCAAGCTATGTAGCAAGGCAATAGAAAAGATTAAAGGTAAACAGCACTTGATAAGATCCACAAAAAAATGAATAGATGAGCTGAGGAGTGACTGATGATTTTAATATAGATAAATACGTTAATGCACATTGCAACAAGAAATGCTAAACATATGTAGATAATGAAGTGATATCCATTAGCAGAGATGGAGAAGTGGGTGTGATTAGTAATCATTCACTGATATAAAGCCTATATTCAGTCCTTGACCAAGACAACTTTTCTCTACTTCCGACATATCACTGCCTCTGTCACAACCTCAATCCTCACAACCTTTTCACTTGCAGTATCGATTTTTCAGATGTTCTCCGCGTTCGACCGAGCACAAGCTCCAGCTCATTCAGTACTCCACAGACTGTGTTGTCTCCTTCACTTGGCTCTGAATACCCAACATCCCCATCCTCACCAGGCTGCACTGACTCCTCATCCTGCTTGATCAATTTCAAGATGTTTGTTATGGTCTCCAAATCCCTCCATGCCCCTTCTTATCTCTGCGACCTATTCTAGATCTACGCTCTGTCCACTTCCTTTTGTTTGCAAACTTAGGCCTGCTGTACATCCCCACCCCTCTGCCCCTCCACTGTTGACCAAGCTTTCAGTTACTGTCCCCCATTTCTCTGGAAATCTCTCTCCAAATCCATCTGTTTTCATGCTGTCCTCTGCTTTCAAAATCTTTCAAAGCCTTACCTCAGTATCTGTGTCTTTGGTCAACTCTGTTCTATCTCCCTATTTCCCACCTCGTTCGGGTCTCTATCCTATCTCTTTAAAGCATTTATCCTGCAGATAAATTGATCATTCACTTCATGTCTGCTTGTGGGACATTGCAATGTGCAAATTGGCTGCTGCGTTCACCAATAAATACACACTTTACAGCAATTACCGGTGAAACACTTGGAGAGATTTCAAAATTATAGGTGCTATACCAAATGCAAAGATTATTATTATTGTTGCTGCTATTATTCATCACCTTTATCAAAAGCCCTCAATTTGGAGTGTTTCATTACAACCACAACTGTAGTCTATTCTAGTTACATCAGGCCATCAAGCTACTTGGATAGTATGTGGTAATCATTCAGTTCAAGAGTATCTGTAAATACAGTACTCCTTTCCTCTAAAGCAAAATATATATTTTAAAATCGCTCTGAATAGTTTACTGACAAAGAGACATTCTCTCTCTTGATGAGCTCATGTGTTGTTGCTTGCCATACCGTGGAGTCCTGTAGCTCAGTGGTTAGAGCACTCGCCTTGCAAGCGAGACACCTGGGTTCAATTCCAGGCAGGACGAAACCTTGGGCAAGTTTCCTTACTCCACACGCCTAATAATAATCCCTCCAAAAAGAAACAATAATAAATTGGTCATTTTCAATCCACAACTGTTTGTAGGACACTGCTGTGCACAATTGGCTGCCGCGTTTCTCCCACAAATATACGGTCAATTCACTTTACAGTCTATTTTGTGAAGCGCTTTGAGATGTTGATAAGACGTGAAAGGGCAAGGATTATTATTATATACTGTGAATGCTGCTGCCTGAAATGACACTTTGGTACCTGCACATTTTGCAAAGCATTGGTAAACTTCAGTACTGTCCCACTAGGACTGTGTTACCCATTAGGGATGTAGCTCTGAGAGTTGAGGACACTTCTGTTCCACTTCCAAATATCAGTGATGAGCCAGATAGGCTGGTCAAACTTCAACAATGCTTTAAATTAAATTACTATGCTTTGCCAGCCAGATCTGCTAGGAGTTAGGAATA